CTGGTGTAGAGAATGGGAGCCAAAATTAGATCAAAATTGGCTGGGCCAATTCCCAGCCACACTCATCAGTTGTGTTGGAAAGTTGTGATGCTCATCATCTTATTTTTGCTGCTTCTGGACATTCTTGGCAGGACAAAATAAGCTTACAGAGGTGGTTATAGGAACCTACTCAATCTTCTCCTTGCTAAAGCCTGACTCTTCTTTCACGTACAATGACCTCTTGCTCCCCTCTTCTGTTGGGCACACATTTCTAGTTCAACACTCAGAAACTAAAACATCTTTTCATTTATTTCACACTGCGAAGTTCCACCCATTCTTTTCCAGACCAGTTACATTTTCCTTATATTTTTAGGATTTACAGTTTGTCCTGCTTATGCAGTCTTTGGGAAATGCCAAATACCAAACTGCAGCAAATCAGTAATTCATTTGACTCACAAGAAGACCCAGCAGGCTCCCTCTGACTCCTAACTATACATGGACAAATGCCAAATAAACCTCTTGATCCAGAGCCATTTAGAGATCTGTTCTCTGGAAGCCATGCAGGTTCAGAAAGAACATCTTTCCAGCCATAGATGCTTATATTCTTGCACACCCTCCCTCATAAAATGAACCTTGCATATATTCTAGTCAATCCCTGCACGTAAAAGGAAAACCACATAAGCATTAAGCTATGTTTTTAAAATCAAACAGCAACAGTTCTGCCAGACCAGTGGGCAAAATAAGAACAAGAACTGCAGAGCTTTCCGTACAATCAGGCCCAATGCCTGCATTGCCCTGTACAAACACGGTGTACGAGCATTTGGACGGACCCCAAGGAGTGTATGCTGCAATAACCCAATGTAAGAGGTACAAAGAGCTGGCTGAAATATGGTAAACTGCCTTCTCCAACACAGGAGATGAAAATAAACAAACATGCTTTCGCTCAATGAGACCAGCTCAGACAAAACTTATTCAGAAGCTACAGAAAAGTGAAGTGACAATCAATGCACCTAATTGAGGTAAATGTCATCAGTCTACATATCTGTATGCTTGTAAAAAGCCACCACTACTGACTTTTATTAGCAGCTTTTACTATGCCAGATGTATACAAGTTCTGCAAGGATTTCAGTTGGTGCTTTATCCAATGCAAGAGGTGGCAAAACTGCTATTAGAAACTGTGAGACGTTGTTAAAAGGAAGAGGAGAGTTACCTTGAAATATATGGCAAACACAAATATATGCTGAAGGGAATTCAGCATAGACAGTTCATATTCTTATGTTCATCAATGATAGCAAATTAAAACTGGTCTTACGCACTCAATGCACAGGACAGAAGTGTTTAAAAAAACTCAATACGTTAAGCGCAGTATATCTCCAGAGAAATTAGGTATTGACTGCATGCCTCAGTGAGTAGAAAATCTACAAAAATCCATAGGAGACATTGATCCAAATATTACTTTTTAACATTAACTATGTAACAATTTTTTAAATGTTCACTGGGTGCAGATATAATTCTCTTTAATTATCAGTCAAAAACCAAAAAGGTAATACTGTTTATACAGTACGGTCTTTAAAAATGAATACAATGAATACACTCAAATACTATGCTAAAACTAACAATGAAGTTGGGCCATATGAAATCTGCATCAAAATAAAAAGGTTTTCGATTTAAAAACCCCACATGCTGGTTGCAATGAGATCCAGCCACCAGCTACAGGAGTGCTGATGGTGCAGGTCAGATCCTGTGGCAAAGCCCAATTTGGGCCCTGACTTGGTTCAAAGTGAATTTTAGACATAGACAGGGGGTGTCACTGAGGTTGGGATGGATACTTGCAAACATCCAACAAGTCTGGAAGCCCCAGAGCAGAAGAGCCATCCTGTGGGGCCCACACACTGGGTGGAGCACCAGTGACCTGTGCAAAACTGAAGACAAAACCAGCATGAAGCACCAAACACAAGACAGGGCAGCCTTTCCTAGCTCAGGCAGAATTCCTCTTCAGTTCCAACACAATTCAAAGCCACCAGCACCATCAAGTGCACACCAGCACGCACTGAAATAACTTGTCTGAAGGCAGCAATTTGCTATCAGCTGCCACAAGAACGTCCAACTCAGCTCTTACCAGAGGCTGTCAGAAGAATATGGACTAATTCTGCCACACAGAAGTGTTAGTATGTGGTGGACGCTGGTAGGAAACTTTCTAGGTCTCAGTGGACTGCATAACCTCTACACCTGATGAACTCCACTGAGAGCTTGGGGAATAAATAGGCATGCAGCTGGGTTAATCTCTCAATTCAACAAGGGAAACACCAGCGTTGATTTGAATTAGTGGGAAGTCATTGCATCTGATTGGCTTTATGCAAGGAGGTTATCAGCTTTAAGCACTGCCAGGAGGCACTTTTGAAAGCAACAAATTTATAATTTTGTTTTAAGTTTCAGCATGTACCTCAAATCGCTGTATTTCTTCAGGTAGGTACTTTATGAATAAAAGCAGATCAAGTAAAAATGTTGTCATTTGTCTAGCTCGATACAACAACTGGTACCGTTCAGGGGTTCTGAGGTTATATATTTATATTGTTACATACACTCAGGAAATGCCCTCTGGAAAGGATCTCATTTCTATAAAATAACATTTAAAAATTGGAACTATATTCCAAAAGCACTGAAACAAATATTCCACCCTGAAAAACTGGGTATCACCAGAATGAAGGCTGTCTGCGTAGCTTTAATTTGGCGATAATGAAACAATCTTTATACACTCTTAGAAGATCATCCCACCTCACTTGGTACACGAGACTGCGTCGAGACCCCATCACAAGTTGGCAGTACAGGAGGTTGTTGAGCAAAGGAGCCCACTGTCCCAACTGCTGGAAGACTTTTAGCATGCTGGAACATCTCTGCAACTCTAAGCCCCACAAGAAGAGATGAGATGAGGGAAACCAGTTGCCGTGTTCTGCCATCTGGACCTGAGCAATCTCCGACAGAAGTCGCTGCAGACACGTATTTTCCCTGGGATGCTGAGAGACTTGCTGCAAATGGGAAATCTGGTAATTTGACCTTAATGGATTCAGCCTGCTGCAAGGTCAGAGCTGAGGCATTCAGTGTGCATAGTTTGGATTCTCTGGAATGTACCAGATACCACATCATGTTCTGCAGGCTTTTCTGGCAGGAGCATCAGAAAAATCCGCAGATTTTCTGTTTGCACCTATTAACAACCAAAAAGTTTTCAAGTGCAAGATAGAGGTATGCTCCCTCCAGCTATCCTTCTGAATATTTTGTTTTCTGGAGTCCTCTGCTTTTCACCAATACCATCACAGCTTTAGCTACATGAGGGAGTAATCTAACCTACAGATTGCAAAAACCAACTTAATTCACACTTGCATGTGCACACCTTTTGCCATCCAAGTCTGTCAAATTTCCCTACTCTTTCAAATAAAACGAATTATCTGTCATCAGATACCCATCAACAGACACCTGTCCACCAGGCAAACTAGCTGCCTTCACTACACAACTGCCACATCCCAAATACTCCACCGATTCTTCAAACAGCATCTGCATCAAATCCTAGTACACAGCCATGTCACTCACACTACCAGGAAAAACAGCCAGAGTCAGATCTCCAGAAAACGCTCTGTATGCTTGGGAGGGCTAGAAGAGTCTGAAACAGAAGCCCTCTCCACCACAAAGTACTTTTTTAGCAGGTGAAATTGTGCAATTGTCTTAGCAGCAAATACCTGACAGTCTTATTTCATTTTTCCTAATGACCAGAGTTAAACGATTGCTGGTTTTAACAGCGCTGGCAAATTATCAAGACCCTCTACATTACATGGTCAATGGTCCTTTTAATAGAAAAAGCAATAATATACAGTTGTTTGTGCCAACTAAAACTCGTTAGAAAGTATTAGTTTAAGGCAACAGTTCAGCAGCTATTAACAAGCATGAATTTCTGCAGTTATCACTTGTGACACTATGATCCTAGCAAAGCTGGCAGCAAAAAACCATTTCTTTTGTTTTAGCAGGTCTTGGGGTGAGGGGGTAGAAACAGGGGAAAGAAAAGTTAACAAAAACACTGTTTTGTAGCAAGAGTCAAAGTTTTTCAATAATCACCATTTTTTTCACTAGCATAACATTAGAATTGACTTTTTGTCTTGCTGACATAGCAACTAAGAAAGTTGTGCTGCATTGACCATATTGATTGTGAACAATGCAGCCATCAGTGGGACTTTACACCATATATTTTCGATATTGACCTCCCATTCCCTTTTCCATGGCTCTATGGGTCTGCTATTGGATTTGGACTGCAGTGTAATAAACAGCTAAGGTTTAATTAATGGTAAATGAATACAAGACATAGGTTATGACTTTAACTAATTAGGGAATTGTTGAATTAAGTCTGCCTTGGAATGCAAGGCAGTACAATCAATATCCAATAAAAAGACGATGTATGTAATTTACCTGCAAATGTGTTTCCAATACCATCAAAGTGAGTTTAAATAAGTAAGATATATGAAAGGCTACTGGAAAAAGATTTCAAAAAAGTTAACACTTTATGGCTTCAAAAGAGGTTTTTCTCCTTGCAGAAGGAATGTCATCTTGAAATATCCTCTCATAACACAGATGGTGACACTCAGACACAGCTCTCCCTGAAGGACAGTGCAGACTCGAAACATTTTTCCTTGACAATGCAACATTAGCAAATATTGCCTCTGCCTCTACAGAGTATAGCACATGCAAACCAGTACTCCCAGCACAAACCAATTAAGTTTAAGGGTAAGCTTCTCTTAGAGTATCTTGGTCTCGCTTCCAGTACCATACATGCAGGAGCCTTTCAGTTTTAATTGTGCTGCCACCCCTTCCCCCACCAGCCCCGGGGAAGCATTCCCAGGTACAAGAAGAGGTCACCACACAAGGGTCTGATCAACCCTGAGCAATCCCCAAGACTACTTCTATTGTATACATCAGCTCACACAGCCTGATTACTCATTCTGTAATCACTCCTCTGAAATAAAAAAAAAGAAACCTACCTACTCCCTTGTGGGCATCTATGCTGGTAAACTCTATTGTCCCATTATGGCCCTTCCTAGGATTTTCCTGATACTGTTTGTGGTTCCCATTGGGACAATATCTGTAGGAAAGTCCATAATCTGCAAGATAAACCTGGAAGACATGAACAGACAAATGAATAATGCTTTTGTCCTTTGAAAGTATAACCTTTATAATTAAGTCTTAAGAAACTGATAGGTTAAGGACAGCCTTAGATCTAAATTTTATTAAACCAAATGGTGCCTCAGGATAAAATATGTACAACTGGGGGCTATAACAGCTGCCCTCCCCATTTAAATCCTTCCACTACTATAGTCTTATCTTATTGCAGAGTCGAGCAGAATTTCAGTCTTTTTATTTTGTTCCTACGCTCTCTCCTCTCCAGGTGGGCATCTAGACACCATAAACTGCAATATGCCTTTTATGTAACCTCACATTGCTTATGGCACCCCTTCCTCTCTTTACTTAAAGAGGAACATACACACCCCTGTTCAAACTTTCCATCAGCTGAGACTGCACTGTTTCATAACAGCAGTGCGACTTCAAAGCTGCAAAGGAAGCGAGAGGCAGCAACTTTCTCTAGCTGGTCTGGACACCGGGCTCCAGCACTAACAGAGACCATGACCACAGGGCTGCTGGGCATTAGCGTAACTGTAGTCTCATATTTTTTCAATATTACTGTCAGTAACTTCATACTGGCATTTAAACATAAAGTGAAAGATAAAACAAAGTAAAACAAACTAGCCCTCCTCCAACCCAGAAAGCAATCTTAGTAAATCACTCCTGAATTTAAAATCAATTTTAAAAAGACACAGAGGCAGACTTCACTCTAAGTTACTCTGAAGGAAACCCAGGGAACTAAATCAGCATAAGTGAAAAAAAAATTGGGCCCCCACTGTGTATATTGTGACAAACTCATGCATTCTGCAACATTCACCTTTCCATTCTGGCACAGGTGGTTTGTTCCCTCCCCGTCTCCCTCAAATGCTTAACCGTAGCTACCTCAATAACCAAAGGGAGGAAGCCTCACAGTTCTGAATGATGTATCTGGGAGACACACTCACATATCCTTAGGACCTAACTGTGAAAGTATTAACTAACTTTAAACTTGGTCTTGCTCACTTTTATGGTATTTGAAGCTGAAAATAGAACAGCTCAGGAGAGCTGAATTCTACTTTCTGTTCTTCTGCAGCCTGTCAAGACAAACCCGAAGATGTCATCTGGCTCCTATGTCTCTATTTCTCTATATGCGTAGTGCACAAAGTGCTGCATCCACGTCAATTCTGCTACTCACATAATTTAGATTAAGGGTACAAGTCCATTCTATGAAGTTCAGATTAACATGTTCTACCCTCCAACAGGGGTGGACTTAATACATGGACATGGTCAATTACTGCAGCGCAGCTGACAAGCAGGAACTTGTTGAAAGCAGCTGGAATTTAATCACAATCTGTCCACCCCACAATATCCCATAGGTTATTTTCTCACTCTCATTTTCACTCTCGCACCTGGCCTTTGCTCCTTACATTGACCAGTTCTCACATTAGGTAATTGCTTTTTTTATAAATATCCAAGTATGGTACTTTCACAATAAAAAAACCAAACAAACAAACAAAAAACCACGCTACAGACTGCTATTATATTGCCAGTGGAACTACTCTTAAGGGCAAAAGCTAAACCATCCAAAGGCCTATACAGATATTTCCAACTAAATCATATTATAATATAAAGAAAAACATTTTTTTCTTTGAACCTTAGTTTTGTTTCCTCTTTAGCTACAAATTAGTTTATCCTATAAGAGTCTAAAATAAACTCTTCTGGCACTCACTTGTAATTTAATTATGTCACTTCTAGTAGAGGAAAAACAAACAAAAAACCTCAAGAAAACAGCACATTATTTTGTAGCACATTCTGTTGAACTACTGATTCCTGTTTGTGCTCCAGGCAGCTTCAAATCCTGGGATGGCTGGTCTCTTGGTTTTACTGCTTCTGCTACAGGATCTGTGCTTATTTGGAGCGTGTAAGCTGGGATGCAGCACTCACTTCCTGCAGGGTGATAGCTTCTAAGATTACTGATGATGTTTTTCACCTGACAGACTATACAAACTGTGATACAAGATTAAAGACCGTAGGCACATTTAGAAAATCTGGGACAAGGAATAAACTTTGTTGGGTTGACTGATTTGATTTGTTCCTGCATCTGTTCTCCAGCATATTCCCAATGCTCTGGTACCTGTCCTAATTGAGTCCCCAGTCAGTGTGAGAGAAACAATTTAAACTACCCTGATATCAAGTTTTGTGAGTCTTCTGCATCCTTTGTGTGCTGCAAAGGAGAGAGACTAGGCTAGAAGGTGTATTCTTCCCAGGCTAAGTGGTACATTTTGTACCACATCTCTGACATGCACAGTTGACCACAGACACAAGAAGATGAACTATAGAGCAGATTTCAACTGTTAAAAATTCAGGCTATGCTTTATATTAAAATTATATTTTAACTGTTAGGAAAAAAAAAACCAAAAAAAAACCAAGAAAAGCATCTCTGCCAGCTCTCTTGTTCTGTCTGGGCTGAGAACGCTAGCTTATGTGATAGACACTCCCATATGGCAGACCAGCCTTGGTGGTCTTTCAAACTATTTTAACAACAGGGCATGTAGAAAGTAGCCACAAATATTTGATAGTCAAACTTGAACTATGTAAAAAAGTTACCAGCTATTCTACACATAAACTACAGTAACTATGTATTTTTAATCCATTTTTACGTAACAGATTTGCCTAAAATAACTTCAGTAGTAGTAGCAGCAGAGCAGTTTTAAATTTATACTGAAAAACTCCTCTAAAAGTGAGAAGTAACTTTAGGTTACACCCCCTCGACTGATAGTGGCAAGGCCTGAAAACCAAGAAGCAATCGCTTCTGAAAGCCACTCACATGCAAATGAATCAACATCTGTGATTGCACCAGAGTTAGCTCCAGAAGTTGGTCACGAGTGTCAATGTTCAGCTTTCTTCTAGCCGAGCCATTTGTCACTTCCACAACTTCCACAACAGATTTATTTTCACAAACATGCAACTGATGGTAGCCTCTCAAGGCAAAGCCTCTTGGCCTCCAACAAAACCCAATCCCCTTCAGCTTGTACAAAACCAGCAGTGCACTGTTTAAACCTTGCCACAACCACTATCAGAACGACTACATTATTTTAAGTCACCATTAATTTCATTTCATCAATTCTCATTATAACCCTTTCATCAATAAAAAGATATATAGTTCTTTATAGCTAGTTGTCATTTTTTGATAGTGTAACACACCATACCCTTCCAAATTTCCTCAGAGTATGGTGGGTAGGGGCAGGTTTTTGGAGGTTTTTTAAGGGTACATGCAGGAGACAAAGAAGATTAATATTATATAATATTGAGAAAATTAACTCAGTATTAGTATATGTTTCAGTACCATAAGCATTTTTCATCTTCATGTTGTTTTTTTTTTAAATGAAACTACAAAACAAGTAAGAACAAAAAGAGAACAAAATATATGCAGAGTAAGATAAACAAGACCCTTGAAACTAGAAACGGTGACATGGATGATGGAGGTGCAACAGTGACATAAGCCTAGAACAGCTGGGTTTAGCTACGTTACATTGTATACTCCTTTCTCCATGCTTACTTATTTTAACTCTTGACTTTGTTCAGTTTCCCTTTTTTAGTCTGCACTAGACTCAGCAGTGCTTAGCATGGTCTGTTATTAATAGATTTTGTTATAAATTAGGAGCCAGATTTCTAAAGTCTTTGCACTTAATTTCATGCAAACATGAACGTGCTCATCTTATTCAAGCAAACAGCCACACAGGCACAAATAATTATTTATGTGCACAAGTAACTAGCCATAGATTTGACAGCCCTCTTGTCCTTTCTGTGCATGACTACCTCACAGAGCTTTATATCCGAAGTGCTAAATATCTGCTAAACATATGAAATTCTTATAACTTGTATACATTAAAACACAGAACTGCACCGATCTGGGAAGTCATAAGCTTTGCACTTTGGATTCTCATTGTGCTCTCTTTATCTTGAAGTACACATAGTAAGTGATTTGTTGCTGAATAATAATAACTAATAACAATGCTGATAATAATAGAGTGATTTTTTTGGTACATTTTCTTTCCAACAGTTCCATTACTAGGCTTATGTAATGCACTGTAAATAATTAAGTAGATATTTACTAATATGAGGCAGATAGGCTGTTAATGGCCATAAAGCTGTCAACTTCAGTTGGCCACTACACTACAAAAAGGCTAAAGGTTGACTCAAGTCCATCTTGGGACAGGGAGTCTAAAGCATAATATTGGGACTGAAATAGCATCTTTCACAAAACAGAAGCCAAGGAAGGAGGAAAGCTGTTAAACAAAGGAGAGAGGGAAAGAAATCTTCTGTGACTTGTCAGCAGCACATCCCGATGCTAGAATCAACTGAACTCCAAGATATTTAGGCAATTACTACGAACAGAAATTAAACCAGTGTAACCAGTGCTATCCAAACATAGCACTAGGACTGATGAAAGAAAATTAGGCCATCTGACTGTGAAGCTACATCTCAGACCAGGGGTGTGGCCAGCAACCATGAGTTAACGCTCAACCGTTTCTGTATGTTATCTCTGCATACTCTATCCTTCCTCAAAACACGCGAAGAACAACAGAAAATATTTTAATTTTTCTCAATTTGTCAGCTCTTTAGCAAATCTGTCGTAGTGGACTAAAGAGCAGGAATCACAATGGTTCATCTCGCAATGAAAAATGGCTTCAAGTTGGAACTGTGTTCAAGTATGTTTTTCCCATATGATCAACACACAAGCTCTGTATCATCAATGCTGCTCCACTGAAAGCTCGTCTTGAAAGTTAGTATTCTGAAACATTTTTGTATCCTTTTTTTTTTTCCTTTTCTGTTAGGGGTATGATACTCAAATCTGAGTTTTATTCTGTAGTTATCTTGCCTAAGAAACAGTTCAAATGAAAATCAGAACTGAGGTGCGAATGCAATTCAAATTTACAGCTTAAAAATCCAAATAGGCAACTTCTGGTGCTGCCTTGAGTCTGGAACACTGCAGCATCTCTGCTCATATATTCCATGGGGAAACAAAAAGAAAATGCTACTAGGTAATTGTTTTGAAGAGGCATTCTTCCAAACCTTATTTAATATATTAAAAACTCTTTATAGAAGCTTTCATCTGGTGACCGCTTGTTCCTTTTAACAGTATCACCATTTAAAAGAGTTTAACAGACTTGAATCTCTTTTAGAGTCTATATCAATAATGCTTACTCTGCTTTATCATACAAACAGTTACACAAAATGATCTTTAACTCACTGCAATATTGAGACACCGCTTCACTTCTTCGGTAATTTATAGGTCTGATCACTTCAAATTTTCTTTCAGGCCTCTCTGAGATTCATGGGCTGTGCGTTACCCTCAGTACATCACTCCTATTCTGTCAGTCATTGTGCAGGGTCCATGTTCAGAAACATATTGACTAGAGAATTGATCTTTTGACCTGTAACTCACTGAATGGCCTCGCTCCCTTCTATTGAACAGATCTGCAGCGAGCTGCTCTTTGAGGTCAGTTGATTCTGATCTTCTAACCATTTCTAAACATCATTTGGAGGTCACAAAGTGACAGGACCTTTATTTGTTTCTCTGCCTTGCCACAGAAGATAGGGCATAGCAGTATGGATTTCACATGTGCTTTCAAAAAAGGGAACTATGATATTTATGGGCTGTGGTATAAGTTTACCAGGTTAATTTACAGAAGAGAGTGCAGCAGCAGAAAGTCTAACATAGAAAAATGATATTTTTTTTGAACTGCAGGAAGTCAGCGGCAAATTCACACATAATAGTACACATGAACAGCCACTAAATGACAGATACAAAGTTGAGTATAAAAGTACATATGCTTTTTTGAACAGAGATTTCTGTTTCTTCACCAAAACAGAATACAGAAATACATCTTGAATATCTATATTTTATATTTGAGAGATTAGATAGGAGTTTCTTTTAAAAACAAATTTCTAGAATTAGAGAACACTTCCAATATATTTTCTCTTAAAATGCTAGCCCCTAAAGAGCAAGAACCCACTAGCGTAAAATTACTAAAAAAAACTCACAACAGAACTTGTTAGGTCAGACAGCTTTACTATGCCAACTCTCACTGGAGCTACAGGTCTCTCAGCTTGTACTCCTGAGTTTGAGTTTGCCACCAGCTAGATGTTTTCACTCCCTATTTATGAGATTAGTTTGACCACTTTACCTCCCAGTTTCATTATTAAAAAAAAAAACAGACCACACACAACACAGCAACAACAAAAATCAACCCACAAAAAACACCAAAAACCAAGACCAAGGCAATCTAGCTATGGCCTATTTTAACAGAAATAAAAGGTTGGACAAATCTCTTCACAGGTATTTGGTAACCATAACAGTATCTGAGGTTTTATCTGAAGGTTAGAACAAGACTGCCAAATCAAAATACAGCTACTCCAAGAGGATATGGGACAGGATATTCCATATTGTTACCATATTTAGTCAGCAGTAAAACTCTACAGAGCTTCCTAAAATACTGTTCTGGTAAATACATAATTCATTCAGCTCACCAGCATGTTATAAAGACAGCTTGACTTGTAGAAAAGGCAAAGGCTGTCACAACATCATGAAGTTTTACACTGGAACTGGACAGGTTTGGAATAGGAAGAAGCAACATTCATGGCACAACTACATGCAAATTAATGGCACATGCAAATAGTCGGGACATGACAAATGCAAAATCATCTGCCCAAGTACAGATGTGAAGTTCCAAATACCTGAATCTTTGTGAGAACATTGTCTAGCACTGCTCCTGACATGGGTAAAGAGCATTTATTGAAGTATGGGGGCACAGAGTCAACCATTCCAGGGGAAGGATATTCAATTATGTTGCATAAATAAATCTGCCAGTTTGAAAATTTTAGATGTGATGTTTGTGAGATTATTCCTTCTTTTCATGCTCTACAAGTCACATGGTATATATGCTTCAAGACATAGTGCAAGTTGTGTCTGGAAAATATTTTTTTAATTTGACCAGAAACAGTCTCATTAAGCAATCTGCTCTGCTGTGTAAGCTAAATATAGTACACATTACTTTAAAATACATTTAGAAATAATCATCAGTGTCTACATGGCACTAGACCGGTAGGGTATAGTTATCACGGCTTCAGTGAAACCAGCAGATGTGTGACACTTGCAGAATTTCTGGAGCCCATGACAGGGAAGTTTATCTGAATAATATCTGGACAGCTTGAAGTTTTTTTAATCATACAGAAATGAAAGTTTATTTCATTTCTCACAAAAGCAGGCAAATATTAGAAACTGTCTCCTATTAGCTCTTCTGAATTAGAAAACGAACTTTTAAAAATATTTTATGGAATTATTTCAGTGACAAAGAAATTTTACCAAAACAATATTCTACACAAAACTTCAGCAGCAACATACACTTTGTTGCATTTTGAGCTAGGAGCTACTTAAATTGGAATATCTATTGATTTATTTTATTTAATAAATGTAACAACTTATATTTCCACCTAAAGCCTCTGTCAAGTAACTCACAAGTACCTTATTGTCAATCTGTCAACAAATCTACTACTCATGAAAACAAAATACTAGTAGCACAATCTTCATGCAGACAACATAAGAAACAAACCAGAATATCACCCCACAATCTGGCCAATTCAAAAGCAGCTGATCAAAGCCAGATACATGTCTTAAAATTTTATGATTACTGTAAATGGACACTTCCAAAATTATTTCAGTGTGAAAAACAGCAGCATATCTTTCTGTCATAAAAATACACAATAGCCAAGACAAAAGAGTCATTTGAGTTATGTTAATGGGATTGGGTAGCAGTCATTTTGCCTCTAAATAGCCTACTCCTTTGGATTCAGGAGGCAGGTAAACATTATAAACTGAGATTATGTACTGGCTGCTACCACTGTCTAAAAACCATGGCTGCTTTAAACAGTCTTAATAGTTTTTAAACTATGCGTTTTAGAAAGGTGAAAAGTTAAATTTGAATAACCATTTAACTTGAAACTTGGAAAAAAGGGCATATAGTTCAATGGTTCAACCCCCAATGGCACTGAGCTGTTTTACAAGATCTGTTTCTTCATCACTGCAGCAGAAAAACAAAATTGAAAGAACAGTAGTATTACTTACAGCTAGTTATATTTAAGTGAAGTTAGAGATGTCCATTTTTCCTAAATGATACTTTTTTCCAAGAAAAAAGCATACTTAAGGTTTTACTAACTGAAGAAAAAAAGACATCATCAGAGCGTATGGAGTAGGACAGGATCAAAAGATTTGTTTCAAAAATGTTTCACCAGAACATTTCTATTTCAAGGCTAGCTTTATGCTTTGGAGTGTTAGAGAGCAGCAACCTTAATCCTACTTACCTGCTATACCCACTACAATGAGCAGGACACAAGAGTTAGCAACACAGAAACACAATTGATGACAGTATTAGAAAGCTAGAACTTCAAGAATGAAAATGCAATGGGCCACATCCTTAACTCTACTAACATACTTAAGCTGGCAGAACCTAGAACAGCAACTATATCCTCTAACTTACTCTCTTGATTAGTTTACCAGTCTAGACTGCTATCCCAGTCAGCAGAGCACAAAGTGAAAAAGCAGAGTTTTGTCCTGCTTCCTTCTCAAATCCTAAATTCCACAGAGCCATTCTCAGATTTGTTGTGAGAGGACATGAATGTTAGTGCATAAACTTCTACTAATATGTGACTCATTAATGCAGAATATACATAACTTTAAACTATTAAACAGTTATAAACACATTAGTCTAACAGTGTAGATAAGCAAACATGTTTACCTCATGTGGATTGGTGTAGCCCAACAGTAGGTTTGCTGCTTTAATGTCACCATGAACATACTCATTTTCATGTATATATTCCAAAGCATCCAACTACAAAAGGATTTAGAACAGAAAAGAAAAACATCATCATCTCCTCCATTCTGCCTCTAACCCTACCACCAAATATTCCTCACTTATACAGTGAAGTCAAAGGCTACACAGACTAAGTTGACAAATTTTTTTTGAGTTAGAGCACAAGGACTGCCCACTCTGTCTGCAGGGTCTATTCCCAGCAGGCACATAGCTGATAGCAAATCACAATCAAAACATACTTTGCCATGAATACTCTGTGTAACTACCTACAAGTAACAGCTTTTGAGCTCACAAAGCAAGAATAAAACTAGTACTTTATAACACTGGAGGAACTGCTGAGAACACCAAAGCCCTTAAAAAGAACATACTCAATCAGCCCTGAAAGGTTTATAATATATTTGATCCTGCCAATTATTACATGACCTGCATTTTATGTCACCGCTACTCCTCTTCATCATCCTTCTTCAGCACTGTACTGAGATAGGATAGCTCTAGTTGTCATTAAAAAACACATTTGCCCTTGGCAACTCATATGAAGGACAATCTACTCCTGGCTTTTGGAGAGTACAAAGAGTATTACAAGTGTGGCTACAAAAGCCCTACACTTTTTAAAAATTATTATTATTATTCAGGTTAAAAGGAAACTGTAGAGGTATCCAGTCCAGGCAGGACTAAAAAAAAGTTAGATCAGGTTGTACAAGAGACTGAACAGTCAAGTTTTAAAAGTCCTCAAGGACAGACATTTCCCAACCTCTGGAAAGCATGTTCCAGGGCTAAGACATTGTTTCTGCAAAAACTTTTCCTTTATATTCAGAGCTTCTCTTCTTGCAACTTAAGATCATTGCCTTTACTCCATTTGCTCTGCACCTTCTTTCAGTAATAGCAGTCTGTTACAACACAAGTGATATTACAAAGGAGCACATATACAATCCTCTGTTAGCATATGCCAGTCAACGCACATGTGAAAGCAGAACTGATTATTTGTAGACCAGCCTAATTCTGGCCTGTACAATCAGTGCATTTGGCAAACACATTGAAAATTTTGCATTCAGGCATGCCATTGTGAACTTTGACAAATACGGATGTCTAATAAAATACCCTGCAGACACTGAAAAAAAAATCAATACATGTTAAAGCATACAAGAATGTGCTATTACATCTCAGTCTAGACACACATTTTCAAGTGTATGGTTTATGTTTTAACCTATTAGAAAAAAATTTGTTTTGAGCCCACCAACTTCCGGTCTGCAGAGGGTCTTGATTTTATACTTCATGCACATTTTATTTTAAAAAAAAAGACAAAAAAGTAAGAAAATATATAGCATTTATACATGTTCAATGCTAAACTCAAGAGCTACCTAATGGAGCTATATTAGAAAGATGAGTTTAACTCAACAAGTTCAAGACATACCAATTTACTCTCGACCTGCACATACCATTCGTGCCCCAAGTTGCAGAACAGTCTCCTTCTTAAATCTGCTTCCACAGTCTTCAAAGATTCTTTGAAGGTCTTCCCCCAGTCGCTCCATAACCATGAATCTATAGCTACCAGGAAATATATAAAGGGAGGAATCCTTTAAGACAAGACTGCAAGTTTGTGTGAAATTGAAAGGACAAATATAAATTTTGTTGAAATGCATCTTCAGTCAATTTGAGGCTTAATTATAATCCATCTTCTTACCTTTTTCCCTTGTACTCAGCCAAGCCTGATCCCCAAAACACTGGAATTCCTAAACATCTTATTTTTTTGAGATTCATCCATTTTCTTACTGTAGTAATAAGAAAAAGATAACATTTGGTTAAGGGGAGCTAGAGAATTTCAAGTTTGGTGTAGGGTTTTCTTTGTTGATTTTGTTTTAGCTATCAAGCCTAAATGTTTCAGTGAAACAATGAAACAACTAACAATTATTTGGCAGTTTGTGTAGCTAACAATTCAGACTATAACTTTACTGTGACAATCTCTATGTTCTCCAAAGCAAGCAGTAGTTTTCTATACTGTCAGTGTGGTACCTTTTTCCCTCAGAAGGCAGGTAAGCAATTATCAATAGCTGAAAAAATAATTCCATTAGAAGCTCTACTTTATGCAACATAGAATGCTTCAAGCTATCAGAAGTGCTTATGCCTATGAGCAATTTAAGTCATCTAAAGTCTTTAGGACAGTGCCCATGAATGAATCACATACATGCTTAAGTGTCTGCAGAATCAAGTGTCTTGATTACTACTAAATCCAGTGGTGGTTACACACTTTTAGCTCTGCTCATGAAAATAGTTATTAGCAGAAATATGGTTACCAATTAGTCCCTGTAGTACCTCTGTTCTAAGGCTGGCCTCTCTCTGGAGCCCATTCGTTGCCAGGCACTCTGAAGAGTGCACATAATAAATTTCGCACACTTCTGTTTTCCCTTCTGATCAGAAAGGGCAAGGATGACATCCAAGTAAAGAAACCTATAGCAATCTAAAATTATTATAGCACCAGCTAGGAGTAGTTCAGTGAATATGGAATGGCTGGCTATCAAGGTCTGAAGCAACAGTTCTTATCAGCAGTAGTTAAATTCAAACTTGTCCTTAAATCTACCTGAATCAGAACTGATATGTTACTTACTATGCTCTTGTTTAGCAGCCCTCTGGTAAAATTTCAGTTCAGAAAATAAGGGACCATTTTCAAGATATTCCTTTTGAGAAATAAATAAACGTAGTATCATAAAATGCATTAGAAAGACAACAGTTTCTACGGAAAAGTGTATGAAAAATTCAGAGAGGGTAAAGTGCCCTATTTTTCCCACCTCCCATATACCATGCCATCTGAAATTTCTTTTTATCTACTTATTAAAATTACAAGTTGTTTGGCAACACGTTGTAATAAACACATTCTTTCAGAAATTATTTAAGATACTATTTTCAGACATACTGTAGATCAGGTGTGTTTAAAGTTCAGCATCAGATTTTTCCTTACTAACCTGTTGAGGGCAGTAATCAAGGAAAGGAAAGAATGAAATCAAGGCAACATTACATGTCATGGAAATGCCAAATATATTGCCAAGCAGGGAAAGTATATAAAGATATAAAAAACAGGGAAAAAAACAAAAGCCACAAGCATGCAATACAGACACAGTGCTGAAAATAAGGACAGATAAATAAGAAAAAGAACTGCATATAAGTTAACAATTTAGAAATTAGAAATCTACACATTACCACTTTAATTACATGCACTGCATCATCTTCTACAGAAACATGAGTTTGAGGAGAAGCTGCAAAATGAGAAAGATATGGTGATCAAGTTGTATGCAACAAAACTGCAAACAAAGACAAAGCTAACATTTCACAGAATGACTAAAAAATAGACAACAAAGATACCAAATTTTTGTCTGAATTCCTGCTTTTGATGGTCAGTTTTGTCAAGTTGACAGGAAATCAAAATGAAAACAACACACACTCTCCAAAGTTTTAAACAACAAGTACAGAAGCAATCCTAAACCACAGTTTCAGAACTCTCTCCCTCAATGCTAATTAAGGAGTAAGCAGGATGTCCCTACTACACATTTGCACCACAACGAGGTATTCCATTATAACAGACTGTGTTTAAATCATTCCAGTCAATTGGATAACCTCTGTATTTGGTTGCTGTCAATCCACTGTCGTGACAAAGACTTAAAAGTTATGACCTACATTATGCCTCTAGACAGGATTGTCTGCTTTCCTCTATTACAAATTAATTTGGCCCTAGAACCTTGATTTCTATTCTGACATTATTTAGACACTGGCCTAAGTTAGGGATAGCACAGCCACCACCTACCTAAAGGGAAGTTGAGGGATTGTGCCACTTAATAGAAATTTCAAAACAATAATTGACCACATGTTCCAATTACAGCCCAGGAGACAGAACCTCTCTGCACAGACAATGCAACCCTATTTTCTTCTGACCCTGAGAGAACTATCAGTTCTCTCTGATACTACTGAAGCTACATAGAGCTACACTGGGATTAAAATTTAATGAGACTAAATCATCTTTTAGAATCATCACTGAAAAAAACCTAAAAAGAATACAGTTCCTAGGAAATAAGTGTCCTTTTCAAACTTCTTACAATGATCAAATACCAACAACAGTCCACGTGTGAAACACTTCAACTGTCAGCACACACAAAAATAGACTACTTTTATCCACATAATAAAAATCAAGTAAATTTGTATCGACTCAAGCCATCCAAGCTTACCTTTTTTGATGATTAAGGCATAAATATTTTTACAATTAATAGATTCCTTCAGCTGCCATCTTTCTTCAATTCTATTCAGCATTTGGGTGGAATCTAGCAGCATACACACCCCAAACACCCACAGGGTCCCCATTGCCTTCTGCTTGACACTTCCCTATGTGAATGCTTTAGTGCTAATAACATATTAAGATAAAATGAACATATCCTAGAACAGTAGCTTTGGAAGGCTTGAACAATCCATAGACTCAGATGAGTAGCAGTCATGTTCAGAATACAATTTAAAACTATCACACAACCAGGAAGGAAATTTTGGTAAAATTTGTTCTTTCCATATTACTGTACTGAACTGGGAATTAAGGCACAGATTCTTAAGTATTTAGCTTTCTCTGCCACATGTAGACTATGCGTTAACAGCTGAAGACATTAGTTTAAAGGAACACAACCCATGTGTTTTCACTGTATTCAACCACATCACATTACTCAAACAGAATTAAATGTGCTCCCTTACTAAGACAAATCAGAAAAGAACTTGTGTATAAGAAAATGTATTTTAATACCAAGTTACTTAACGGAGGTTTGATAGGTATGGAGGAGTACCAAATTTAACTTTATTTGAAAAAGTCTGAACTAACTTCCCTGTAGACATCTTGACATTTTATAAAGAGAGGCCTCATTCATGGTAATCTGGAACAGACAGTAACATCTGTCAGGGTAATGAAGAAGAGCAATTAAGAGGAGGTAGTCCAGCAAAAGGGCCTAACCTCCATCGTTCTTACACTGTGCTGGTGTGAATGCTTTTTGGAGAACATCCTGAAGAAAAACAAAACCAAATCTAACTGCAAATCATTACAATGTGAAAAGGGAGAAAAGTCAGATAAAGCTCAACAAAAGAGAGGATCAGATGCTCCACAAAATGAGTAACATGACATTCAAATCTACAAAAGGAGAAACGGTATTATTGTTTTTACTGCAGATACATGAAACAAGGCACAATATTCACAATGAATAAAACCAAAAACTTCTTACACAGATAATAGAGAGTAATCACGTACATATAGATAAGTCAAGTTGCATATATACCTTTTTTTACATCTTTTAAATTAACCATTCATATATCAGGCAGCAATATTTTAACCGCAGCTTAGAATTAAGACAGACTATTTTTTTTCCATAAATATACATAAATGGTTTTTAAAAAATTGTCTCATTACTATGTATAGTTAGTTAACAGACTGGAAAGGCTCCCAAGGTTTAACAAACAGTCTGATTACATACCTCATAGACCACCACCACATACTCTCCTGCGAGTTTAGCTCATAGTTAATTACTGTATACTCGTAATTAGCCATGTGCTAGCCTCGTTCTGTGTGGTAGCACATGGCTATTTATAATATTACAATCAGTTAAATGCTAGACTGCAGGACAGTAAGCAGAGACCCTGCAGGAGAGCAATGCTGATAGGCAGGAGGTCTCTGGTGGCACATAAGCACACACGTAGAGCACTATATGGCGAGATTGTGTTTGCAAAGGATAGCTTAAAATAGCATAACAAGCGTGAGAGTTCCCAGTTTACAGTTTATGTCGCTTATATCAACTATGGATGCACAATCTCCTTACATATGGGATGAGGGGTGTTGATGTATGTACACAATCAAAACCACTGTCTGCATAATTATTAACTGGGAACACTGGCACAAGATGAAGCTGTGTAAGGGGCTGTGGTTATTTCCATCTCATGCCAAGACCAGTCTCAAAACAGTTGCCAAGGGCAAAGGGCATGGCTCTGTTTTCCCTTCATCATCCCCCATCCCAAAACTGTAACTACCATGCCAGTGAAAAGCATGCAAATTTAAAATACACTCTGAAATAAAGCAGTGCAGTAAGATTCACATTCTTTGCCATAATTTCCAACTGTTGTGCCTACACAACACATCAAATAACTTACCTCAAATTAACCCATGTCCAGAATTCCCTAGTTTCACCCAGACACAGCAGTTATGGTCTTATCATCCACTTTAACTGTGAATTTCATCCGTTTTGTTGCCGAGTGCCACAACCTTAATTAATGTAGCTTTCTAAATGTTAATATGACAGGGTAACAAAAGAGCATTTCTGGATGAACTGTGATTTCCTACAACCGTGCAGCACAATTGCATGCAGTCTGACAAAGAAATGTGCCAATTCTATTTGCCAGTTCAAACGTGCTTGTTGTAGTTTTAGCAGTTTATTTGTGGCAGTCACATTTGGAATATGATGAAATATTTTCAATGGCTCTCACAGAACCAGTTTTGTTGACAAAGTTTACACAGTGGAAAAGAAAACAGCATTGATTTGGCAGTTTGAAAAAACATCCATGCTCTTGTCCACAGCTGGTGTCTTTGCCACTGCTGGATATTTTGAAAACATATTTGTTTGGAAAACAAACAAAATTATTTTCAGAAGTTTTTGGGTTGTTAGTATCCTATTTTTGCTTTGTTTTATTGGTTAACTAATCCTGGAGAGTCATACTGTCAGCTTAGTTTTTTGCAGAAGTAAAAACTAACCTCAAAAATTCCACACTTCAGAGTTACAGCATACATATTAAAAAAAAAAGCTGAAAAAATTCTGACCCCATTTATGTCAAGCCAAGAGCTGTTAAATTCAATGACTAACAAACAGAGAGGAGTGTTGCTCAGAGCATCTAATAATAAAAACACATCCAAGTTGCAGCAATATAGTTACTAAAAACAAAATGTACACAAATAAATAAAAAGTAGCATCTGCTATTTAACACACAACTTCAAGTATTTCCTACATACTGGAGGCACAAAGGCAAATATTTAAAGGTGGACATAACACTTTGCTTTCCATCTTGGCCTTTGCAATATCCAGTATTTCCCAAGAGCTGAAACATTCAGTGCTTGAAGGGTGTTTACAGTCCATTTTTAACATAGCCTAAGGAAGACTTGCTTCTCTGCTCACATCATTACTTTAAAGATGCATCATCATTTCCTGAACAGACTGTTTTCTGAGCAAAGTTCATCAATAGGTTTTTTTTCCAGATTCTTCTCCTAGGTAGCTTTATGAATGTAGAGTTTTATTATACAAATTACATGGTACCTCTGTACCATGTTTGTGAAACCACCTTCCACAAGGCCTAACTGAACTGTTTTTGGTAGATAATGACGCTCAACTGCTAAATTGTTTTGCAAATGCCTTCAAGTTAAGAACATTCAATTCTGGTAGGAAGTTTCACTATATTTCTTACTTATCTTTCTATGAAACCTTAAACTTGATTCACTAGAGCCAAAGTTCTGTATTTCACAGCAATGGAAGCCACTGTTTGACTTTCAAAGTTAATTACTCTAAGCTGGAATAGGTATAACACATCCTTTAACCCCAGGCAGAAAAGCTAGGCATTGTCTGCTCTTAGAGCACTCTCAGATGGGAGTACAGGCCTCTAATATTTAAAACTTGATGCACAAACTGTTTTCTGGCAAGATTCTGCTTCAGCCCATCTGCCAGTCTGACACAGTGCCCACTCAGAAGATACTATGCCAGCTTCAGCAGGGTACAGGTGCCAAAGACTGCTGAAGGGAGTGCCCTCCACAAGGCAACAGGTGCCCTATCTTTCTTCCAAAGCTCTTCCTGTTATCATATAACACTGCTCAGAAATACATCATCCACTGAAAAAAAACCACCAAAAAACACCAAAATAAAAATCATGCTCTCTTAAGCAGGGTTTCAGTCCCTGACCAGAACTCTTGCAAGGTCGACTAATGAAGAACAAGCCAATACATATAAAAAACAAAAACAGATAAACAAACAAAAACCAAACAAAAACCCACAAACAACCAACAAAAAAACCCCAAACCACTAACACATTATGTGGCAGAACACTAACGTGTAATAGTAATGATCTCCATAGACTTCAGAGCAGGCTTCAGACTACTGTGTAAAAATTAGTTATGTTTTCAAAATTAAGACTTTCAGCCTAGAGAGGACAAAAAATAGAAGAAAGAAGGAAGATACAAGAGTAAGCAGTCACCAGCAAGAAC